ATGGTGTGGAATGTGTTCTGGGTACACTTTGGAGTCGACGGGAACAATGGCGCAGGAGAGCTTGGGAACGGATTCGCGTGCATCTTTGATGCTTACTGGGGACGGGGTGTATCGTTCTTTGGTCCTTGCCAATTTGAGGCAGCACGTTGTAGCTGGAGCAGTGCGTTCTTTTCCCCTACCATGTCTCAAGAAGACATGGTCCACGTACACACTCTGTCGTCTGTGATTGAAGTGCGTGATGGGGTTAACGTCGCCGTTCAGGTGCTGGAAGCAGTTGATAAAACTCTCCGAAGTGACGTTCTGGCACACGGAAGACTTACTATCGCTGTTAAAGTCGCCAACGATGATGGACACGACGGGGAAGGGTGCGTTCTTGGCGTAGTTATTGGCAAAGGAGGTGAGCACTTCTGCTTGCATTTCGCGATAATTGGGCGGGATAAACGAGTGCGGAAAGGTGAGATGCGTGTTGACGATGAGCAAGCGCGAGGCAACGGAAAGTTGTGCCGAATCTGGAGGAACGATTTGAGCGGACACGGCTAGACCTACTCTGTCGCACGGTGCCTTGCACGAGGGCTCTGCGAGCATGAAGGTGCTGACATGTGTGACATCGCTGAAGAGAGCGGCGTTCTTGGACACGAGCGTTGCAAGACCGTCGTCCTTGTGGGGTCGCCTTGCGTAGAATATGTGGTAGTAGGGGGAAAGCACTGCTTCCAGACGGGCTAGATAGGGCTGATGGAACCATACCTCTTGGAGGTTGATGATGGCGGGGGTGGGTTGGACTGAGAGCAGGAGTTGAAGCATGGCCTCCAGTCGAGGACGCCATAGCGATTCATAATCTCGTTCGCGTTCGCGGCGCTCGTTTCCGAGGCCGTTGTACATTCTCTTGTAGCATGGGGCGAGCAGGTTGAAGGTGAGGAGGGAGAAGCGAGCGGAATCTGCGGTCATGGCTGTTGTTATTTGTGAGAGGGGGGGGGGGGGATATGGGGTGTGAGTTGGGGGTTATGAGCGGAGTTTGGGTTTGGAGGTTGTAGGGAAGAAGAGGAGCCAAGGGAGGAGAAGTGCAGGAGAGAGGGCGGGGGGTTGGTTGAGGGGGGGGGGGTGGAGAGGGAGGGGTATTTGTAGAGGATGGGCGAATGGGGAATGGCGGCTCAGGGCAAGTGTCGGGTAGAATGGTAGAATTCGTAGTCGCTGTGGAAGCGCGGCGGAGCAATTTTTATAGCACGGAGGCGGTCACACGTGTACGAGGACGGTTGGGCGCGCGCGGAACGCGCGGAACACGCGCGCAAATATCTGCGCGTGGCGCCCGCACGTCGTGAGGCGCTTACGCGAACCTGACGCGCCGACGCGCACTGTGCCGCATGCCGCTTACAGACTGCCCGCCGCTTCGGGACAGTTCTCCACTCAGCGGCGCTGCCTCGCTTCTTCTTTGCTGCGTTTCTGTTTCTCGTCGAAATGGCCCCACCCCTCCTCCACTCCCCCCCCCCCCCTCCCCCAACTTCCAACTCTCCCTCCCAATCCCTCACCTCTCACCCCTCCCCTCGCTCGCCCTCTGCTGGCCAATCGTTAAACAACACCCCACCCCCCCCACCGCCATCCAGCCCCCGCGTCGTCCTTGTCGACCTGGAAACCCCCAAACCTCCCTTCGTGACTTCGTTGACCAACTCGCCTCCTTAACGGCGCTTCGCTTCGCTTCACTTCGCTGTCATTGCTACTGCTTACCCACGTTTCCTACATAACCCCTTCAAACCAATCTCGCCTCAATCTCCCCCATGTCGCAATCCTCCGCTGCTTCTCGTCAACCTTCCCCCCCTCAACCCCGTCTCAACAATCCCCCGTCCAAGTCAGTCAACGATGTGCTACAACCGCAACGCCCCCCTCCCGCAGCCGAGCCCCGTTGGGACACCTCCTTCTCCGATTACATGAGCGCAAAGCAACAAAAGCTTCGCCACCAATACCGCCTCCAGGCATCGAGAAACAACAAGTCCTCCCTCTTCAAAGGTGTCACCGTCTGGATCAATGGCGTAACAAAAGTGCCCAGTCCCCAGTTGCGTCGAATGTTGCTCCGCAACGGAGCAAACATAGAAACTTACTGCACCTCGCTTGTGACACACATCGTAGCCTCCAATCTGGCAACAGCCACCCGTCTACGTCTTCAATCCACCCCAAATTCCAAACCAAAACCGTTTCTAGTCACTCCGCAATGGATCACCGATAGCATCCACCGTCACACCAGACTACCCGAGCTTAACTACAAAATACCCAACATGAGCGACTCCCGCCAGCGAACCATCTCGCACATGTTAAAGCGCAACAACGCCCAGAAGGTACGCCCTGCAATTGCAAAGAAATCACGTTGCACAACTTCCAGTAAAGCCAAGAGCAACGTCACTTGAATCTGCATCACCTAGTCAATACCAAATCCTTTGCTTTGCAAACCGCCGCTTGCACCAGTTTTGCGCCATTGGCTGCCGGTCGTCTATTGTTGCAACCATGGTTACCAAAGGTACCTATAACCCTTAACCCTATATCTACTCCGTCCCATTCACATGCATCCCTTGCTAGCCTTATTTGCTAATGGATACACCACTTTGCCACTCCATACACAGCTTTATAGCGTGGGCCCGCAGATTCGATACACGCTTCGCGCCAACTGCAGCCTGATCTCGTCATGCCTTCAGTCCAAAGGGCCAGCCAACGTATCGTCCTCTTCAGCTACGCCTTCGTAACCGAAACTCTATGCTGTAGCGAACTCAAGAAGATGACACAAAAACTCACTCCCTAGCTTTTGACATAATATACGTAGTTGCTGGTACTGGAGTATCTGTACGTGTCTCCACTTTCGAGTCATGATGCCCTCCCTCAAAATACGTTCGCACGTTTGCAACGGAAACCCCCTTGTATGATGAGCTGCTGCCCATCAAACATCTACGCAGAGTAGCGATTGCGTGTCTGTCTTTTGCAGAGTTATCTTCTACGTATAAACACAATATTCCTGCTCATCGTCGTTGTAACGCTTTACCTGTTACTGGGCAAAATACTCAAAAGCTCAATGCGAAGAAACGTGCATACACGACCAAGTTATCGCAAGTATCCACTGTACCTGGTGAGCGCCATTCCTGCCGCGAAATGCCATTCAACGCCTCATTCCTGTGCCTCATTTGGCGACACTCAAGGCCTTGATTATTCATCGTTAGCTTCGACAAGATATAGCGGCCTCAGCGCAGTTTCATATGCAGATTAGAAGTTGCAAAGACACCAACTGCCCCGTCGCCGTCGGTGACTCGATATGGTGCTGTCCAAAACAGGCGCACCCATCTACATAAGTTGTGTATCATACCGGATACAGATCCAACACATTCCGATAATACTGCAAAGCGTCCACATGTTGTATGAGATATTTACACGATATACATAACGAATCTGAACCAAGATTAGTTGCAAGAGTGATATCAGCAACATTGGTGGAACCTTTCAAGAACGCACCCCGCACAGCGTCACATACAGATATTACACTCATTCTGTAACTTAGTCATGAAGTCATTCGTATTCGTCTCTCGTTGCGTTCTCTTCTTATCCTTCTACCATTTGTAGGATAGCACAACTAGGAGGTAAAACCCACTGCGCGTTTGCTTGATTATCACATGCCGCGTAAGAATATGACGTGTAACCCTTTCGCCTGGCGTTCGGTTCGAGAATGGGTGGCTTAAAAGTACGAAGACCATATCTGGTGAATGGGAATTCTAGTTCGCTTGCTCTAACCTTAATATGAAACCGAGAGACTTGGAAGAGTTCTATAAATACAGCAGGGGTTTGCCAGCACTTCGTCTGCGTGAAAGTTGGCATGTAACACCAAGGACACTTGCACCCGTCACGGTTGCTGTTGTCAAAGACATTGCAGATCCGGCAACCTTGGTGGGATGGGACATCAAGTGTGGAAAGAGACGTAACAAGCATTGAACAGTAAGCATATGTTTTTGGCCACTGGAAACACGTTCACGTGCGTCAATCAGGACAAACAATCAGCAGATATCATGTTGTACATGAAGGACTACCTGTGAACTTATTAGGATTGAGAGCAGCACGAGAAGTTTCAAAGCGTTCCAAAGCCGGGTCCATGCGAAACCCAAGTTCGGTGAAGGCCTCTGCGCGTAGAATACACGAGTCACATCCCGTACAAGGACGTCCGTCAGGTCCCGGGTCGTAGCAAGAATGCGTCATACTATAATCAACGCCCAGTTGCAAACCTCGCTGAATGATCTGACGTTTAGTCCAGTGCAAAAGCGGGGCACGGATCTGCGGGGCGGCGTGCGACTGCACGCCCGCGCGCGTACCGACATCAGCCACGCGTTGAAAGCACTCAAAGAACTGAGGCCTACAATCGGGATACCCCGAATAATCGACGGCATTTGCTCCTATATAAATGTAAGAAGCCTGAATCGACTCTGCCAACGCAAGCGCATAGGATAGAAACAAGATATTTCGAGCAGGTACGTAGGTTTCTGGAATAGATGCTTGCATGTCATTTGTAGATCGGTGTTTGGGAACTGCGATGTTGGTATCAGTTAGAGCGGATTGCGAGAAGATGCCTGTGTCTACGCGAGCGACGCGATGCGAGAGTGCGCCTAGTTGCTTGGAGATCTTGGCAGCGGCCGAGATTTCATGGCGGTGACGTTGGTTATAGTCGAAGCATAGAGTCTGTGCGGAGAGGCCTTCGGACCTTGCTATGGCAAGAGTGGTTGCTGAGTCCAAGCCACCGGATAGTAAAACTACGGCAGACTTGTTTGGGAGAGTAGAGAGAGCGCGCGCGCGATGAACTAGGGAGGAAATAGTCATCATTCGGCAGGTGGAATGGCCGTAGGAAGAATCATCAGATCAGCACGCTCGTCATCATGATGCTGCCCTTGATCTTGAAGATCCCCTCAGGCGACGTCGCCCGACTGAACGTTCTCATCTACAGAGACACAGATTAATATACAGACATAAAAAAAAACGCGTTCACGCACCTCAGGCGGGGCTCGAACCCGCGGCCATCAGGTTAAAAGCCTAACGCTCTAAATTGCGATGTGGACCAACTGAGCTACTGAGGCCGATTGCGCTGCAGAACCCGCCTATTTGCAAGATATTTATAGGACAAAATTTTTCTGGAGTGCATACTTGGCTTCAGCGAACCTTTGCACCAACAGATCCCGTTAAGCGATTCTCGAGTTCTGCTACTGTTGGACCAAGGTACAACAGTACCAAGTCACATGCGATATACGAACCAAATTTGGTACGTACAACGAGTCTCCAGGGCGCCAGTTGGACTTCGGCATTGGCCTTGTGGAGGTAGCAATGCGTGCATACGACGTGCATGTGATTTCCCCCAGTCGCCAGGTCGCTCCCTCCGAGCACTCATCACGTCAGCAATGCCTCTCATCCTCACGCAATAGCTCTACAACTTGCAACAAGATCTGTCCCATCAAGAATCGGACAAACAGAAGCATCGTCAAGAGACGTAGGGGAACAGTGCTTCCTCCGAAAGTCAGGTCATTACGTCTTCAATAGTTCTCCGAAACCACGCTTGACGAGAAAGCTGGCGTAATTCCGCCTCTACGCGTTGTCCGACACTGAACAACACCTTCAATTTTGTACACCTTGCGTTTATTGCAGGCTACAGCAAGCTGTTCTTGTTTGATCCCAGTTAGATAGCGACTACAACAACACACCTGTGTTTGGTACACATGTGTTCAACAGCTTTACCGTTTCGTTAGATGTCTGCTATCTTACACTTCTTTTTCTGCGTACCTCTCGGCTGTCTCTGGTGCAACACGACAGCGCGCTTGCGAGTCATGTCACGATATAGAAACTGTGCCCAGCCCACTACCCTCTTTTTATGCATGAACGTCACTGCAATCATGATTGCATCACGTATCAACCTGTGTACACAAGTTATCCTATAATAGCGCACTCGTCCCTAGGGTTTCGAGACATATTATGTACTTGCCGGACTCACTGGCTCTTAATTCAAGTCAACATGCTGCAAATAACTTCGAGCATGTCTCTTCACCGTCTTGCAATTAAAACTCCATGTACCGTGTTCATTCGACGTCCATTAACCTTCCCGTACACCCTACACCTTTCCAGTTTAATTGCAGTGATATTTCAACATGCCGACACCATACTGCTGCCATCAACACTGTTTAACAGCTTCTTCACCAGCGCAGCAAGGCCGGCATTGCGATTTCTGCCGCATCATCGCCCGACAACTTTTTCGACCTTCGCACTGACGCTCTGCTAAACAATCATGCTCAGTTTCATCGCGGCTATCTTTCTAAGTCTTGTGATTGCCATAGCAGCAATTCCGTTGCCCTTTGCAGCTCTAAGACAGAAACGGGTGTTTACCACAAATGTTTTGGACGGTTTCAAGAAGGATCACCCCCAACTGTTCCCCCCCGGTCTAGGAAGCAAGAATGCCAGTCGAATGGTTGTTCTAGATATAGGAGCAAACAATGGTGATTCATACACTCTCAGAGCTTATAAGGAAGGACATACCGTCGTTGCATTTGAACCCAGTCCAATGGTCAAAGATCTTTTTAAGGATGTCATGAACGAAAATCGTGTCAGGCTGACTGTCGTTAACGGAAGCACTGGAGTACCTTCTAAAGCACAAGGCGTCACTGCTTCGTCCCTGAAGATCGGCGACAGGAACAAAGTATATCTAATTCCGGCTGCTCTGTCAAAGAAGACTACAATCCTTAATCTGCACCAATCTCCGTGTTCAGATAAGCGAAAGTGCGGTAAGATCAATCGTCTCGTTGAAGACTCTAAATCAAAGAATATAGTCAAGGTCCCGGTGTACCGATTGGATGACATTTCCTTCCCAGTAGACCCAGAGAAAGTATGGTTTATGAAGATAGATGTGGAGGGCCATGAGCTGGAAGTTTTGCAGGGAGCAAGGAATTTCATCAAGAGCGCTAAGATTCCATACATTGGCCTTGAATTTGCCGCACATGGAAGGGCAGGGATTCAGTGGGGAGTTGATCTTTTGGAAGAGCTGCACAAACAACAGTATTCTTGTTACCATTTGAGAGGATTTGGAAAATGTCATGATCGGGAACACAGGTCCCCGAGTCTCAAGTGTAACTATCCCTTCTCCGTGAACGACTGGAAACAGGCTCCTACGTTTGAGGAATACGCAGAAACTTTTGAAATCTCTGCAAATAGGCCGAAAAAGGCTAGTCTTTCAGACATTATGTGCGTCAGGAGCAAACGTGAATAGCTTCTCACTCCTTACACTTCGGAGCCTGGCAAATCTATATCTCCAGACATAGATTCCTTGCGGCAAGCTCTGGTCCCCGTGCGAATGTATTAAGAACATCTTGTGGTTTTGGTGTTTTGTAGGCATCCGAACTATAGTCCGTTAGATGATCACTCGCATAACTTGCAAACAAAGCCATCGAAAGTTACCTCATTTCCCATCGCAACTAGTAACCGTTCTAGTTAACAAGACACATTACTGACCGGCATAAAAGTACCCTTGAGAATTCTTTTAAACTGGTGCTGCCTTATTATATCTGCTGTTGGGAAGCCACAAAAGCTCTTGGCCTTCCTGAAGAGAGAAAGCTTTTACTGAAAGCTCTCCTTCAACTTAGTTATAGAAAGCTGTTGTCCACAATAAAGAAGAAGAAGAAGAAGCTGTTGGGAAATAGACTTGAGCGCAGTTTCGCCATTGGCCGAGAAGAGCACAAAAAGATGCAAATCACTGTGTGCATAGTTACCCGTTGAGAAGAAAAGTTCAGCGCGACGACATGCCAGATCGAAGTGAAAGAGGACATGGAGATATTGTCCATAGGCCAGAGCGTGGCCAGACAGGTTTCTTGGGTTCCTGCGACTAAACAAGTATCTCTGAGTAGATGCTTCCCGTCAAAAGCCGCAACGAGGCGTTACGAGCCTACACAAAACCGTACAAACGTGAGCTGCGGTTGATCATTATCATCATCATTATTATCATCATGGACATATCTAATCAGACATTGAGGGCCCAGAAGAAAAAGTAGTTGACGACTTCGCGGGTAGAAGGCTACCGTAGATAGATAGCCAAACCTTTATCGACGATAGAGATCAATAGGAGTTATGCAGCACAAATACCCAAGGGGGATAAAACGGTAGCCTTCTAACACTTCAAACTTGGGTGATGCTAGCAAATTTGTATTTTGGTCACCTTGAGTGCCGTTTACCAACGGCAGGCGTTCGTACACCGAACAACGTAATTACGAACTTCGTAATGACGAACTTGAAATTGTTGTTGTATGTGGCGGATGAGACCTAATTCCGACTTCGACGACATAACCATGTAAGAAACTAGGCTCTGCCTGGTGGGCCAAGTTCTTGAGGCAGAACCAGATGCGGATCCATTTAGATTCCTTCTGATTCGCATCAGCAGGGAGGTCGGCACACCCCGGCGGCCAGATTAATGCATCGTGGCCAAAGACCAGCGCTTCTCGCGTGATCTCTCAGCGCAGCACTAATCCTGCAAAAACCATGACATCGCAGCTTTAAAGATGAGCTGCGACAGCTTCAGCTTCAATTACATTTCGCCTTGACGAGTTTGGCGACTCTTGGAGTTATTCGGGCTTTCAAGTGCGAACGCTATGGCCAGAATGTCAGCAATTGCTAGCAATCCCAACCTTTACCCTTGGGTAATCTGTGTGGAGGCGAAACTCCAAACATAGGGTTAGCTGTACCATTTACCCATTCTGCGTTTCCTCTGATTCACGCAAGTTGGAATTACGGCACACCACGTCGGCGGATCAATGCAGTGCTGCAGTGCGCCCAGGGTAGAGACACTGGTGCCTCGCGCATGATCCGTCGCAGTGATAGTTCAGCATGCTTTGCAACTCTCATTGACCTGTGCCGGTGCCTTGAGTACCTTTGTACCAGAAGGGTGCAAAGCTTGCACAAGGCTTCTTATGGTCCCTGAACCACCCTGAACCACCCTGAACCACCATCTGAATTGCTCTACGGAATGCTATCAGTTGCGCATTTTACGAATATCATGTGATACTCCGATACCAAAGCGAATTGGGTCTCTTTGTCGATCGAAGCTACTGAACACAAGCTACCCACCTTCCCCCGACGTGCTGCTATTCCGCCACAGCGACTAGGGCAAGCGAGATGGAGATTCGATTGGGTCTATCACGAAGAGCAAGCAGTTCATGCTAGCTTTGCATGTTTTGAGCGCATGGCATCCAATTCCGAGGTCGTGATAGAAGTATCTGCAATCAAGAACTTTAGCTTCGTGGCCACTGTCTTTTGCTTAAGTAACATGATGGAGGATTATCAACTGAAGTGTTATCAGGTACCGACGTCATTGCCAAAACAGCCCAGTAGTATGGCGTCATACTGAGCGACTCCGAAAAACACAAAGACACAGTTTGTGTGTGCACAATGGTCATAAATGTGATACGACTGGGCTACAAAAGTGTCCGGCCAGACACTGATGCGAGCTTGTCCAGCGATACTTGTAGTGAGCTTCCACGAGCGTAGGCGGAACCGAGTTTGAATGAACGAATCAGCTTGTAGTGAGCTCCCACACTCCCCGGTCAAACTCGGTGGAGCCGAAGCGAAGCGTATGTAACGTTTTGACAACGTGTTGTGTAGATGTGTAGATGTGTAGGTGTGATTGTAGTGTAGATGTGTAGGTGTGATTGTAGTGTAGACGTGTAATACTCCCCGGTGATCGGTGTGACTTTGTGCGACGGAAAGTGCGGAGCAGAGGCAATGGCGACTGGTGAGAATCGAACTGTGTACCACAGCGGCAGCGATGAAGGCCCATAACCTGTGATACGACTGGGCTACAAAAGTGTCCGGCCAGACACTGATGCGAGCTTGTCCAGCGATACTTGTAGTGAGCTCCCACAATAAATCGCCCATATTTGTGCGTACACAAACAGGCAATTTGCTCGACGTTCAGACGCGGATGTACTTGTTTGTGCCCCCGCGCAAACGAGCAATCTGCTTTGCTTCCAAGCAGCGCCAAACATAACGCAGCACGCGCACAGGCCTCCACCGCTGTTCATATCAACACACCACTCGTCCATCGTTCTGC